AATTGGTAATACCATCTCTGAAGACACTGCTATTAAGATGATGACATAAAAGATGCTATGAGGCATGGTTAAGGAGTAGTTGTAAAAAATCAGTGTTGAGTGTATTGAAACGACACTTTCTGGTGAGCCCCTTGGTAGCTTTTTGAGCTACACAGTGATATAACTGTTAAACCTTTAGAATCAAACCAAAATCTACTGATTCACCATCACCTCTCAGAGACCAGTACCAGAATCTGGTCCACTCAATAGAGAGGTTATCTTGAAGTTATCTTGAGATGATTTCAGGGCTTAGCGTCCCTGCAGCCCAATCCTTGACAATGCCTCCTTTTTTTCACACACCCCTAGGAAGCAGCCCGTAGCAGCTGTCTAATTCCCAGGTACCTATTTACTGCTAGGTGAACAAAGGCATCAGGGTGAAAGAAACTGCCCATTTGTTTCCACCTCCACCAGAGATCGAACCCGGAATCTCAGGCCTTCGAATCCCGAGCGCTGTCCACTCACCTATCAGGCCCTCTGGTAGAGAGAAGGGGAGCCTTGGGGTTTAAGATCCACACAGTAACCAAGAGAAAGACCACCAGAAATGTAGAGCACACTAAAATGGACAACTGCATGGATATATTTGCTATACTATGCTATGGGAGCCGGTCGGCCGAGCGGACAACACGCTGGACTTGTGATCCTGTGGTCCTGGGTTCGATCCCAGGCGCCAGCGAGAAACAATGGGCAGAGTTTCTTTCACCCTATGCCCCTGTTACCTAGCAGTAAAATAGGTACCTGGGTGTTAGTCACCTGTCACGGGCTGCTTCCTGGGGGTGGAGGCCTGGTCGAGGACCGGGCCGCGGGGACACTAAAAAAAAAAAAGCCCCGAAATCATCTCAAGATAACCTCAAGATATACTGATCCTATGTAAACAATGATGGCACCCTTGATTGTCCCAGGCCCCAAAATGCCAGCCCAACAATTCATGCACCATCTAATACATGACCATTGAACATCACAGGAAGAGAGTTAAGGGCAGGAATGGGAAAGGCTCTGCCAAAATGCACTACATGCACAGGCAGGCAAATAGAGGATCAAACCATCGAGGAAAAACAACATTGCTGAGCACCCATGAGAGCCCGGACACTATGCTCAAGAGTGGACACCGAGCTAAAAGACCCAGGACAAAAGTGGAGTCATCCGCCAAAGAGCAACATAGCCCACCTCACTGACAAATGAAACCAAACCGAAGGGAAGAGAGAAAGCTCACCAATTTTAGCATGAGAAAATGAAGCCACCGAAAATGTCAGACAACCATGAACCACGGATACACACAAAGGAAGGCATCAAGCTCACTCTGAGGCAAACCAGTACACCACAGGAAACCTACCCTTCCAACTACCAACCAGAATGGTAAGGTAACTCCTATGCTGCCGAGGTTGGATGGAAACGGAAGAAATCAGCCACTAGCACATGCAATACACCCCATATGAGAACTGTGTGAAGAATGGAACCCAGAGAACCAAAAGTTGGGTTATCTACAAAGGCCAACACCATAGGGAAAGAGACTGACTGGAATGGTCTCAACAGAGGCAAAGAACCACTGGAAAAGAGGCAGTTAACCTAGGTTCTGAAGCGCTGTGGAAGATGAGAGCCCAACAGTGCACACCAGCATGCAAACCATGACAGGTACCACCTGCAGATGAAGCAGGCAATGGTTTCAACCAGAAGGTAAAAAACCTGTAGGCGAAGACAATCCCCCCCCCACCCCAAAAAAAAATGAAACAGCATGAACTCAGAACAAAGAATCCCCCTGCAAACCCCCAGGGACCGCCCTAATGAATCTAGCAACATTACAACAGGTGACACCAGAAGGAACTGGAATGACACTTCCAGCCAAATATGGTCTAATAGAGAAACCATGCAAAGTGCAGGAAGCCACACAGCTGCCTGATAGACTGCTGGAATTCCGTACCACCGGACAGAAGCGAGACATCAAGGGTAGCTGACCTACCAGCTGAAATGATAAGGAAACCATCCTGGAATCACAATTGTGAGTCAGATTAAAACCTGCAATGGAATCAAACTGGACCACTGCCAGTCAAAGTGAAACCTGAAAGCTGCCAACTGGGAAAAAATCCCATTTCTGACTAAAAGACAAGCAACTTAATTTGGAGCCCACACCAGTCAATCATCGAGGAATGTTAAGACAAATCTCGAGCATTGAAGATAAACCATGCATTAACCTGGAAAAAGTCATGAGTGACATGAGAAGCTCAAGGGAAGATGAAGAGCTGATATACGTGTGCTCGACATGAACAACCCTAGTCAACCCCCAAACCACAGGAGAATCAGAAAATTCCAAATGATGTGCCCTGGAGGCTCAGAGGCATGAGCCACACACCTGCCAAAAGAACCAAATAAACCTGATGGAGAGTGGCAATGCAGAATACTGGACAGGAAAGGCACAGGGAAGACCAGAGAAAGAAACCCAATCTTGGCAAGCACCTCCAAGAGAATGGAACGGGAAGCAGCAGGGCATTCATTGCAAAGTCGAGGACATTTCAACTACACCTGCATTCAATATCAAGCAGATGACCATGTGGAATAGAAGAATAGATGGCCAAACCAAGACCCATGACATCCCCACTGAAAGATACTGGAGACAACCTGGAATGCCCAAGCATTGCAAGACCAATCCAGTGAAGATAGCTTAGCCAACCTTTTATCCCACTATCAAAATGGCAACTAGTAGCACACCCAGCAAGCAGCTGCAACCAGCGGGACAGAAAATGCAGGATTTTATATGGATCAACCAAGGTGCAATATGCATCACACCTTGCTCAGACTTGGGGGGTGTGTGCAAAACAAAGTGACAGGCCAAGTTGGGAATGCCTCATTCCCCTAAACAACTATAAACCCATCCAGCTGCATGTCAGCCCACAGATCGTGTAATAACCTAAGTGTGTGACAGAAAGGGTGTCAAGCCCCCAAAGAAAGGGGAGTGCCAAGAAAAATGTAGGACCACAAACCGCAGAAAAGGATATGCAAACCCAAGCATGTGGGCCCATCCCCGAAGCACATTTTCAGTTTCAGAGTAGAAACTGAAGCAGGCCCACCTGGCCTGCAGTCGGTCTAAGATAGGACCCTGTAAACCTGCATAGAAGTGGTAGATCTGAACGAGACTTGGAAACACTGAAGGGAAGCCCCAAGGAGGAAGTATGTTCTAATATCGACTGAGGGGGAAAAGGAAATGCCCCATGTGGAGCAGAAAATCAACAGGGTCAGGGACCAAGAACTAAGAAGTGTCAAAAGACAATCAACAGCCCACCTCTGAAATCCCCAAGTCCTAGCAGCCTTATCAACAGGAGGCCCTGGGTAGGAGCTGAGAACTCCTCAAGATGCCAGAGATAGAGAGCAGGGCCACCCCAAATACCCAAAAGCCAAAAACGATGAGAGACCTGTGGAAATATCTGACCCAACCACCTCCAAACTAAGATTAGGTGTGGCAACCCTTGGAGGAGCCCCAAAACCATGAGCCCTGAGAGAGGACAGAATGGAGCAGGGAACCCAGGCACACCCACCTAAGCGTAACGATCTTGCTGAAGAGTCGAGTTGAGGAGGTGGGTCTCACTGTAATTGTCTTTTGTTGCTAACATACTCCCTTATCTACTGGACCATTTTCCTGTCACTTCTGCCTGTTTATCTAAGTTGTGCACTAGTCTCATGTGGGGTACCAAGATGAAGGCTTTATCATAATCCAAAAACTTGCAGTCTACCCACCCCTATCTTTTTTTGTTTAATTCCTGTTGTTCAGTCCTAGAAGTTTATCAAATTTGTGAGGGAAGATATCCATCCCTGAACCAATGCTGGCTCTGTGTTATAAATGTTCTTCTCTCCAGATGTTCTACCAATGTCTTCATGAAATTTTTATGCAAGGCAGTGAAACAGATTATTGCTTTTCTTTCCTATGAAAGAAGGAAAAGCAATCAAGTCTGATTTTCTTTCCTAAGAATTCATCTCTTATAGTTCATTAGTGAACAGCTCCCTTATAACCCGATTGATTTCCTATACCAATCTAGCCAAAATAAATTCTTTCTTTCTTTTTTAGACAGGTGGGTACAGGATCATATGATGTTAGGCTGAGTAGCAGGCTTAGAGCTTTCCCCTTCTCATAGCTCATCTCAAGTTCTCATCTTTCATCTTAAGGATTGGTGCCCAGTCAATTCTTTCTGCCTAGGGCTCGAACCTGGTCAAAATCAGAGAGGAGGTGTGAGGGAAGTGTACTACCACATGCACCACAAGCATCTGCCTCCCCCCTCCCTGCCACCTCTAACTTGCCAGGATCCCTGTTACTTTATTTCTGGCCCTCACTCTTTACTTAACTTTGTTGGTTTCTTCCAGTTCCCTTGGTCTTACTATTGTTATTGTTTTTTTTCTCTCTGTAGTAGCTGACTTGCATTCATTGCTGCTTCCTGCAAAGTGGCTGCCTGCACTGTCACTTGCTGGACTGCTGTCCTTGCATCTGGATTACTTTTTAACATGTCCACAAATGGAATCTGCCATGAAAAAAGACCAATCCACTGTTTGATTCCAAATGCTAGGGGCCTGTGTACTTTACTTTGGCTATTCATTGTTTTTCCTCCTTAACAGAGCTTAGCTCCAATATACATTTTGTTTCTTAAATTTCTTCCAGTTCCTCCCCACATTTTATTTTTGATACTGTGATATACTTAGTACAAGATTTCTTCTAGTGTATCTCCCCTGAGATGACTCATGTCCATTTTTCACACAACTTCCCCACCCTGTGTTTGTGTCTGACCTTGATGTATGTGTCCCATGTATCCACTCCTTGGAAAAAAGGAGAGAGGAAGAAGATGAAGTGTCACTTTTATTACTAAAGGGAACTTTATATAACAAAATCATAAAATCAGTTGAGCAATGGCCTGTTGGAATCTGCAAATGAAGCAGTGCAATTGGGCTGGTATAGCAATTAGGTACCAGTTGAAGTTATAACTTACTTTGCTTTGGGAGTGGTGTGATACACGGTTTATGTGTAGAGGTTGATAAGGTTTTTGTTTCTGTTTTCTTATAAGGGATGGTGAAGGTCCTGGGGATGTTCCCCTGGGAGAGGCTTGTCCACTACTATACGGATCACCAAGCCCCCCTGAAGAGAAGCCTGAACCAAGACGAGGTGAGCCTGGTTGCAAATTCTGTAAGGTCTATTCAGAAAAGAAACTATTTTGAGGGAATGGAATTGAAATCGTTGATTATGACAAGGTAACTCATCCAATAGGCCTAAATATTACAACAAATTTTATTTCTACCAGTACTTTGAAGTAATGTCATGACTATTTTTATTAAATAAACATATCCATACATTGTATTTGATAATATTGTATAAATTTAATATATAAAATAGTAAGGACTCACTGTCAAGTCTGTATCAGGCAAAGGGGGATTCATAGGCTGCAGATATTGAACTTGCGTCAAGTCAGGAAGAGAGCCGGTATTTGGTAGCGCTCCTACTCCCCCTCCACCTCCCCCAGGTCCAGCTCCTCCAGCATTGTTTATTGATGTGGGAATGGGAATATTTGCACTTCGCTGTATGTGGTTTATCCTATGTAAAAACAGTTTAAAAATATTACTGTTATATAATTTAAAAATATTACCATTATATAATACAAATATACTGACTGCATAAAAACAATCAGGACATATTAATTTAATTTAAAATCAAAACAACTGAGAAGCATACAAACCAAAAACAGAAGGAATATACCTTGAGGTGTCTTCAGGGCTTAGCAACCCCGTGGCCCAGTCCTCGACCAGGCATCCTATATAGACTATTATATGGTATAGGCCTCCTATATAGACTATCATATAGCCTCTAATATAGACTATTAAATTTGTGAATTTCATCCTAGACACCTTTATGTACAGTATTTACTAAGAAAAGAGGGAAATCTTTGGTCTACACTGTCTGCTCCATTAGGTAAGAGCAATTATGTACTTTATAAAAAACCCAACACCTGTACTGTATGGGGTCGCAAACTGTGGACGCCAGGAGTGTGTGAGGCCATAGTTCTATCAACTCCGCTATAAGCAGTCTTAAAAAGGAACTGGACCCCATACAGTCCAGGTGAATGGAATGTTTATTTCTACAGAAGTGTGGATAGCAATTTATAAAAAAAAAACAATATGGAATGCAATGAAATGCCTTTCTGGCAGAACTCCAGAGGCCCCCTGAAGCTAGTTTGTTGAGATTGTTCTATTCTAATGGTTACATTCTCTATTCGCTATTCTAATTTGTCAAGTTCTCTCTTGAACACTGTGAGGGGTCGACCAGTTATGCCACTACACATAAGGGGCATAACTGGCCGACCCCCTCACAGTGTTCAAGAGAGAACTTGATAAACACCTCTGAAGGATACCTGATCAACCAGGCTGCGAGCAGCCGCGTCCAACAGTCTGGTTGACCAGTCCAGCAACGAGGACGACCGGGCCGCGGGGTCGCTAAGCCCCAAAATCACCTCAAGGTAACCTCAAGGTAGGTAACCATATCTGACAGTTTTGTTTTGCCTACTGTTGACTAGAGCAAAAACCTGATCCCCCCACCCCCTCACAGAGGTGCAGAGAATGAGTGACAATTTGCCACCCCACCAGGAAAGCATCCAGAAAATCAGCCAGGTTTTACACATAATTGTTCACAGAAAATAAAGCCTCAAATCCTCCAAACAATTCACACCAAACAAGAGATTTACTCAAATTAGCTCAAAACTTGTTAGTACTGATGTCGCTACCACCAGTCAGCCTGGCCCTTGCCCACAGCCAGCTCCCTGGTCAGTTCTGGAGCTGAAGACCAACCCACCGATGAACTGTCAAACTTGGAAGGACTCAGAGAGCCACCGGGACTCTACTAAAAACTGCCATTTAATTACTGTACATTCGATGCTGGGATTCTGGGCTAACCCACCCAGTGGCTCCCTGAAGCTAACCCACTACAGATAACAAAAACAGGACTTAACAGGGAAGAGGAGAGGATAGGCAGCAGGCAATGGACCAAAAAAAAAGAACCCAGATCGGGAGACAAGGACTGGAACCAGAAAAATTACCTAAATACCAGTTCACCAGAACCCTGTTAAAACACTAAAACCCCCAAGCCCAAATATCAGCCCAGGAAATGTTAGAGAAAACTGTGGCCAAAGCAGCATACTGTATTTGCAAACATCGTGGGCCCCAACAGTAGACAGCATGTTGGCTAGACTTTATGACACTGCAGATGACCTAGGAAATGTGAGCCTTGGAACAGGGGACCAAAGAAACAGGGTCAATAAGGCACCCACAAGAGCAGAACCAGTGACCAATAGGTAGCAGTGAAGAGCCACCACCATTGCTCAGGCTTCTGCAACCCTTGGAGCCACTCTTCCCAAGAGAAGGGCCAGAGATGGAGCCCAAAACTAGAGTACACCAGAACCTGACAAAAGGTGGACCGGGGAGGTAGAACCACTCACTACTGAGACCCATTAACCCTTATAGAGGTGACCTACAAACTGTGTCACAAACACAAAGGAAAAATTGCAGTTTAGACTGAGCTTGAATACCAACCATCTCACATCTGACAAGTATTTTTATCCAAACTGAGATAATCCTATACTAATGCCTAATAAAAATAGAGAGGCCCAAACACCTGGGCCAATAGGAGTCTTCATCAGAGGTGGAGGCAGGAAGGAAGCATCATTTCATGCTGGCTGAACAGATTAAACCCCTATCCCATTAGGGGAAAAACAATATGGAAATGTTAAGATTTACAACAAGTCTGAAATCACCAAATCCTAAAACTCTTCCTAATAAAAGAGGAGGTGGCTCACCTACTGTATTAGCCAGAGTTGAAGACTACAAAAGTCGGTGCTGAAAAATGCACCCACATAGGACAGAAATCTTCTGAAATATGAATTAAATAACCTTTCTGTTGCTTGGAAACTCAAATGCCACCACAATCCATAGTCAAAATGTCTTATCATAAACTTGGTTTATATGCATAAAGTTTTGTACTCTCACAAGAGCCAACATTAAGCACAATATTAACTGGCATGAGGCAGATTTGAAAGGAGTCCACCCAAAGTAGGAAACTGAATGCCTCAGAAAAAACAATTTTGATGGAGAACAGTCTGCCTAAACTACATCAGGAAAGGCCCAAAAGCACAAGCTGTGGTCTTGAGGAGGCCTGGTCGACGACCGGGCCGCAGGGATGCTAAGCCCCGGAAGCACCTCAAGGTAAGGTGGTAACCAGACACAAAGAAAGTGAATTGCTTTAAACATAGATAGCATATTACCCCAGATGTATAACCTGAAGGTCCTAGGAACGGCAAGATCACTTAGCTTTGTGGAATGAGTTTAGCTCTGTAAATACACACGTGATGTGCCAGTTACCACAATGCTGAATATGACAGGTGGGTGCCTCTCTCAGACAATAGTCAACCGTATACTATATCACTTGCTAGCAGATTGAGGTTCATTGTGACAGCTTGTTAAGTAGTTGTCAGAGTTTTGTTTCTGGTAGGCAATTCTCTCCCTATGGATATCTGGCCTTATTGAAGTGTGTCCAGCAATGACTAGAGCATTAGCTAAGGAATTACCGAGTGTGCTCAAAGAAAAATCAAATCTGCTGCAAATTTACCTTTAAGACCCTGATTTCACTTTTGCCAATTCAAAATCCAGAATATTTGTTTTCACACTTTCCGGCATACAGTATGTATTTCAATACAATCTGAAACAGAAATTGTTAAATATTTTGTCCCTATTATAATTAACGAAGACAGTCAAGTGATAACTTACGCAGTAATATCTGATGGGTGCGTTAATTCACAACCTGACTTCGGTCTGGGTTGTGGTTCATGCCCAAGTCTCACCGACTCATAAAAACTGACACCCAATGCAGGATCTGTTCGAATTCCTTCCACTGGAGCAGAGACTGTAACAATATTGAATTTTTATTATAATATAATTTTTTTTTAGCATTTTAATGCTGTAGTAGGATTTAATTTATATTCTTATGTAGTATAATACATTCAAATTATATGTACAATAACACTAACAGTGTGTGCCTTCAAAATCTGGATTTTAGCATTTTGGACCTCTATTTCATTTTTACAAATTTAGATCTTTTAAAAAGTCATATTATTTTTTCAGAAATTTTGGTTGTGTAATTCTTAATAAAAATTACGGAATACATATTTTTTGTACATTTACACACTCAAATACTGTATGTAAATAATGATTTTTCAATATAAAATACAGTATGAAATAATACTTAATTTTGTATTAACAGTACAGTACTTTGAAAAATCTTAGAAGGACTGGTTCCAAATCTGCACATGGCAATAACACCATATATGACTTGGAAGGAAGTGCAAAATAGCCCCTTTGAAAAGAAAAGGTGCAATAAAACTAAAAGATTGCAGTTTTATTTTCTTATATTTTCTTATTTTCTTATAAAATATATATTTTGTATTTTACTTATTTTCCTATATACCATTCAGAGTGAACCTATCAACATCAAGGCCCCAAAACTTTTCAACACTCTCCCTCTATACATAAGAGGTATAAATGGCAGATATTTCACAGTATTCAACAGAGAATTTTATAAAGATCTCCAAAGGATACTTGATCAACTTGGCTGTAATTTATGCATCAAACTGAGAGAAGCAGCATCCAACAACCTGATTGGCCAGACCACCAACCAGGAGGCCTGATCATGAGATTAAGCCATGGGAAGATTGATACTTATTACCATTTCAAGGTAATCTCAAACACTTGTTGAGATTACCTTGAAATGGTAATGATGTTGACAATATATTTCATTGTAATACTTCATTGTGTCCAGGACAGGAAGCCAGAGCGTATTCATACATGTTAGGACTATATCGAAGTCCCTTCCCCAAGCTCAAATTCCAGGATGCAACCCCACAACAAGCTGACTAATTCCCGAGTACCTACTTACTGCTAGGTGAACAGGCACAGTAGGTGAAAAGAAATGTGCCCAATTAAATCTGTCTCGCCCGGGATTCGAACCCGGAATTCTCAACTGTGTGTCGAGAATGAGCCCGACTGTACTACCAAGACCGTTAAACATTTATCCTTGTCAACAATCTGACCTACATACATATTGTAGGTCAGATGATTATATACCTTATCATTAACCCATTTTTACTTTCCTCTGGTGGGGAAGCATCAGCAAAGAAAAAAATAAATAACTGCTTATAATGAAATGCCCTTTTCTAGTGAAACCTTGGTAGCCTCCAGTACCTTGTGCTCTGGTGAAGCCAAGCCTCGAGAAGTGCACCAGAAGCTTGGTAGCCTCCAGTACCTTGTGCTCTGGTGAAGCCAAGCCTTGAGAATTGCACCAGAACCTTGGTAGCTCCCAGTACCTTGTGCTCTGGTGAAGCCAAGCCTTGAGAAGTCCACCAGAACTTTGGTAGCTCCCCATATCTTGTGCTCTGGTGAAGCCAAGCCTTGAGAAGTGCACCAGAACCTTGGTAGCCTCCAGTACCTTGTGCTCTGGTGAAGCCAAGCCTTGAGAAGTGCACCAGAACCTTGGTAGCCTCCTGTACCTTGTGCTCTGGTGAAGCCAAGCCTTGAGAAGTGCAACAGAACCTTGGTAGCTCCCCGTACCTTGTGCTCTGGTGAAGTCAAGCCTTGAGAAGTACACCAGAACCTTGGTAGCCTCCCATACCTTGTGCTCTGGTGAAGTCAAGCCTTGAGAAGTGCACCAGAACCTTGGTAGCTCCCCGTACCTTGTGCTCTGGTGAAGCCAAGCCTTGAGAAGTGCACCAGAACCTTGGTAGCTCCCTGTACCTTGTGCTCTGGTGAAGCCAAGCCTTGAGAAGTGCACCAGAACCTTGGTAGCTCCCCATACTTTGTGCTCTGATGAAGCCAAGCCTTGAAAATGTGCACCACACCTATAAGACCCAGTTACAAATGAAGGGCAAAGTTGTCCCATATACCATTCATAATTGTCTTTTTTTTTAATTTGTTCTATGATTTTCCCATGTTTTTAACAAACTTTAAAATATTACAGCCTTTCCAGAAATCCTTGATGGTGGTAGGTTTGCTGTCTGATGACTAAAGGGCCTGGGAAAAGGGTCTGATCATGTAACAGGCCTCGAGTAATCTTATAACACTCTGGTCTATTGGTGATAGCAATGACACACTTTTGTCAGGAGGCATAAACACAGCATTAATATTTAACACTTTCGCCCGGGCATGACGCAGCATTGCGTCATCCGTTTACTGTCGGTAATGCCGGGGATGATGCAGCATTGTGTCATCCAATTTAAATAATCGCCAAAAATCAGGTTTTTATCCGATTTTTTTGGGACTGGTTTTAAAATGCGCGCCGATGTCTTCCCATTTTCTTTGTTGAGCCTCGTGGCCCTCAGGCGGCTTGGCACACGCCATGGGCCCATTGTTTTCGCTCCACTGTTGTGACCAATGTCGCCTCCCCTTGCATCTCAAACGTGTGAACATTTCGGCTATTTTCCGTGGCTATATTTCTTACTGCGGCTTTAGAAACTATCTACGCCTACTCCACGATGGATAGTGATCATGAACATGGCCCTTCCAGGAAGAAAATTGCAAAAGAAAGGCTTGAAAAGGGCGGGAATTGGGAGTGTAGCTGGAAGGCGTCTGAGCGCTCACTTGCGGCTAACGCATGGCCCGTCTTCAACTCGTCGGCGGTTGAAGCGTGACCAGATTTTTTATTTTATATGCTAATGTTCCTCTAGAGAATTCTATTGCGAACCCATTGAGACCAAAATGAAAGACCTAGGACGAAAATTGAGGTGACCAGAGTGAAAATAGTGAAAACATTTTATCGCGTTTGCGCGCTCCTGGGTAACTCGTTCGCACTTTCTCTGTTTGCTGCGGGTAATTAGCCGGGCTTTTGGAGTTTATATGCATTTAGTGCTGTAGAGAATTCTATTGCGAACACAATGATACAAAATTTAATCTCGTAGGACGAGAATTAAGGTGACAAAGTTGAAGAGAGTATACACTTTTCAGAATTTACGCGCGCTCCCGTGACACCCTGGGGTCCCATATCGCACAGATGAGGGGTGGCGCGCGGGGTACGCCAAAGTTTTAAATTTACTTCAAGAACAATCATTGGCAAACCAGTCTTTGAAGATGTCTCTAGTTACCAATGTTTCTTGGAGCATTTGTCCATCCCACTAGCCGAGTTGGTTTTAACACGCCCTTGATAACTTGGGGACCTTCATAATGGTACACAAGGAGTGGCTTGAGTTTACAGTCATCCGCAGCATTTTCTCCAAACAAAGTCACAAATCAAAAGGAATCACTGAACATGACCCAACCATAAACTTGGTTATGGATGACCCAAACACAAAACTCCCCAATTAACATTAGAACAAACTCCCAAGCACTAACCAGAAGCAGGGTGACTAAAAAAGAAGCCAATTTGTAGAGGAGGAGGAATGCACACCCTCAAAGAAGGGACTGTAATGCTAGTGGAGCAAGGAAAATACAAATTAACAGCCAGTAAAGAGAACCCTAAACCAAAATTGGAGCAAAATAATTGCCGGGGGAACAAGCTGTATGGGGTGGCATAAACATAATGGTAAAACATATGGTAAATTAAATGAAAACAAAGCAATGGCCCAACATGCAGCAATTATTTCAGGGAAAACCAAAGCCATTTGGCTCTGAAACTTCTGCTGGGACTTCCACATAAAAGTCCAAGTAGGGGCAAACAACTCTTACGCTACCAGGTGTGAGTGAGGCAAGAAGTAGTTCAGGTCAATGGGTCACCTGCCATCTGGTGGCAGCCAAGCGAGGTTCAGCTAAGGTTCTTTACTCTTTGCTAAGTATTGCTTACATTGTTTTTCACATTCATTTTTGTTTATATATAGAACAGTAATTTGTTTAGTTTTATCTGGACTTGAGATTGATCTTGCTCAGTTTTAGAGTATATTTGCAATCACTATTCTCCACACCTTGTTGAGATAACCAAATTCTGGTATCGGTTTTCAATACTGTTTTAGTTTCAGAGACCTGGTTCAACCTGAAGACTTAGCAGTTCCAGCACTTTAGCTCTGGGGAGCTACTAAGGAGGCAAAACCAGAAAAGTTACTGCTTCAGATTTAATGGATATTCTATACAAAGCAATATAATAACAAACAAACCTTTCCGATTGTTAACTGCCTTGCCTTGAACCAGGTTTTGGTGTAGAGAGGAATCAGAGATGGAGCGTGATAGAGCCTCTGGAGGAGACAGCAGTGTTGGATGATAATGTAGTCGAGTTGGAGAGGTGGCCAAGTGCTGGGAGTGTTGATGTTGTCGCATCTGTGGGGATACTGATATCCTCTGATGTGATATACCAGCACCTGGGTAAACTTCTTGCCGTAAATTGTTCAGATCCTGCATTGCACCCTGTGAATTAAGAAATCATATTAGTAATCTGATAAAAGTCTATTATCACTACAATTTAATAAAACTTTGTTTTTTATATAGTGTATTACAAAGTAAATTAACAAAAATTGTGTTATATTCTATACAGGAACTTAATGTAAAATTAAAACTTTAACAACAATTTAAATTAAAGTGAACTGAAAATAAAGTTAAAAAAAACTTTAAGGTCATTTAAACAATATACTTAAGTTTAATTAACAGAGATACATTTTATGACTATTAAAAAGTAGAAAACATATACAGTATTCATATAAGTAATGCCTGACATTACAAAACTTAAGTTTTAAGCAAACTTAGGATGTGAAATAAATTAAATATAAAATAAAATCTATCATCGCTAATTTTGACAAAAATAACCTGTCTTGGCCAACCCAATTTCTCCTACTATTATCCTGCATACTGTAGTTCTATATTTAAGCACACCTAATTAACCCCAGTTCCTTCAATAAATTTAGGCGAGTACTGTATTTTTAGTGCACAAAATATCTTGAAGAGTTTTCACGAGTTTCTAAGTTTCTCAGCATATCTGCTCCAACTTTATTTTTCTTCCAGTATCCAGTATACAATCTATTATCAACTAGCAGCGTGAAGCATGAAAACTTCTGTACATGATAGAAGAAAAAAGATGATATGATCACCGCTTACAAAATACTAACAGGAATCGACCAAATTGACAGGAATTCCTGAAACTAGTGACTTCAAGAATAAGAGAAAACAGATTCAAGCTAAGGAAACAAAGGTACCAAAAAGATATTAGAAAGTTTTCTTTGCAAACAGAATGGTAGACGGTTGGAACAAGTGAGGTGGAGGCCAAAACCATCATTAATTTCAAAGCATTATACGACAAAATGTACTGGGAAGACGGGACACCACGAGCATAGCTCTCATCCTGTAACTACACTTAGGTGTAGTTACAGTTACACATCCCCATGTAGTTACACATCTCCATATTTGTGCAGTACTTGCACACTTCTATAATTGCCTCCATGTATTATGTAATCTTATTTGACTTTACACTTTCTTCCTTTATCCCACATTCACAAAATCTCCTAATATGCATTTATTTTTAATAATTTATTTAGTAACATTTTACTTGCTAATATCGTCAACATTTCCTTTACTTAAAAATTTCCTTCACGGTTCTGTCCTAACAGATTCCAATCTTGTAATATTGGACAAAATCTTTTCCTAGTGTACTTTTTCCTTTACTAATACTATATTTGTTATTATCAACTTATGGTGGACAAACACCCAAGAGAACTAGTTAATGCTGTTAAAAGTTCAGTCACCTGGCTCTAAAAAAATGTCCTGATTATGGTCACTTAAAACCCTAATTATAATTATTTAATGGTTCTCATTTGATTAGTTAATCAGCAAAATGCTACAATATTGTGAAATATTATAACTAGAAATATTTTACTCAAAGTCAATCAAGATGGGGGTATCCCCCATAGTAGAAGTGGTTGAATAATTACAAGGTAAGAGATATAGTAGTGATGGCAGTAATGGTTGTATTACCTGTGGATGATTTTAAGAGTTACTCTATTTTTCACAGGCAGGCCTGGAACCACGCTTCCTTGGTGACTGCCTTGTCTGTAAGGTTCATTGCCTTAGTAACCTAAAGAACCCCAGTGCCAGGTTAATCCAGAAGCTCAGCACAAATTTGTCACTTTTTCCCTTGAAAATGTCCACCTTTGTTCCAGTGACATTTCTTATATTTATTGGGAAGAGACTGAAAAGTCATGGACATCTCTAATACTTAGGGTTTTCTAACTGTGACTATTGTACTCCAACTTTCATTGTGTTTACACTTCTAACCACAGGTACACCATGAAGCTAGAACAGAGGACCTTTGGACCTGTAGATTTGTAAACCTCATCCTGGAAACGTTCATGTATCAACACGTTAAACAAGCTACAAAAGCTCATTTCAAAAGGTGTCACCTTGTGTCACCTTTTGAAGCTCATCCAAAAGATGACACCCCTTGTGTCAACACCTGCATCAGAGGAGCTCCAGGATATTTAAAAATTCCTAAGGATTGTAGAATGATAGTGAGTGGTGTCCCAAGGAACATAAAGGTGTAGTGCTTTGGAAAAATGTGAGTTAACACGAATGTGCCAAGTGAAGTGAAAAAATTTGATGATAAAATGTTGACCCTAGAGGGAGCCAGTCGGCCGAGCGGACAGCACACTGGACTTGTGATCCTGTGGTCCCGGGTTTGATCCCAGGCGCCGGCGAGAAACAATGGGCAGAGTTTCTTTCACCCTATGCCCCTGTTACCTAGTAGTGAAATAGGTACCTGGGTGTTAGTCAGCTGTGACGGGCTGCTTCCTGGGGGTGGAGGGCTGGTCGAGGACCGGGCCGCGGGGACACTAAAGCCCCGAAATCATCTCGAGATAATCTCAAGATAGTGTTCACAGTGCAGACGACGACATTCAAGATGGCCACTGGGGGTCTGCCTAATTACCCAAAGCTACTCAAAGCTTCCTAACAAGCTACACAAAACTTCCTAACATTATGTTAGTAATGAATAAATGATATATTTATTCATTAAAATGTTGGTGCTGAATATAGAACATGGAAAAACATATTTTTACTTTGAAAAAGTATCATTTCATAACAAAATTAGACGAAAATAAGCTGCTGGTGATGCCAAAGCAAGTCGACGGTCCAAGCGACAATGTTGTGGAGCGACTTATCCAAGACACATTGTTGCTAGGAGGGTGTTTGCTGGCATATCAGCCTCTTCTACCTACCTAACCTAACCAACCCACCCAAACCTAACAAAACCTAACCTAACCCTAACCTATCCAAACCTAACGATATAAACTGTAGGCAATAATATATCTTGGATAAGTCGCTCCACAACAGTGACGCTTTAACTGTCGACTTCCTATGGCCTCTCATGCCACTTAGTTTCGTCTAATTTTGTTATAAACTCGTATTATTTCAGAGTAAAAATATGACTTTTCATGTTCTACTTTCAGCACTGACGTTATTGTAAGTAAATATATCATATTTCTTTTTTACTTACGTAATACTAGGAAGCTTTGGGTACCTTTGGGTAATTAGACGGACCGGCTGCCGACCAGAAGAAAAACAAAACAGAGATAGAGAGTGGTGGTTTCAATGAAGAAAGCATTGATATAAGCAGTCTACACAACAAGTTGGCAAAATTAGACACTATAGTGAACTCTCGTGTAGAAAAAATCAGCAAATTGAAAGGAAATAAATTGTAAAGCCATGGAAGAGGAAAATAAACTCTTAAAAACAATTTTGGAAAAAGTTAAAGCAAATTTAAACAAAGATGACTATACCTGTAATAGGTTAGGTAAGGAAATTCAACAGGAAAAACAGCTTTTGTCAGTACAGATGAAGGAAGTTACACAGGGAATGGAACAATGCAAGAAGGATATGCAACTCACCTATGTACAAGTGGCCAAGGAGAAGGAAAAAATAGAAGCAGTAAAGGAAGCCAAACTCTCCAGCAACCAGGATAAAACAAACATTAGGCTGAAGTTAGAAAGGAACTGGCATCAAATCCTAAACTGGTGCAAAACACAGTTGATCGAAGTAAGTCCCTGATAATTTTTGGTTGCAAAGAAAAGGAGATAACATCTAGGTCAGAAAGAGCTATAGACGAGATAGTACTGTAGTAGATAAAATTGTAGTGGAAGGTCTTACAACTGTAGAGAATGTCTGTGACTACAGGAGAATTGGCTGGTACATAAAAGGGAAAGATCAACCTTTGAGGATTACCCTAAACGGTGCCAAACAGATGGAAGAAGTACTAAGGAATGCTAGAAAATTACAAAGTGATGAGGAAGGGAAAGTGTGGTTAAGATGAGACCTTTCAAAAGAAGACAGAGAAGCTGAAACTGAATCTTGTCGAGGCAAAACGTCTAAATGAGAGTAGGAATGAAGAAGAAATAAATTCTTTTTTTCTACAAAGTGATAAGGGTAGGCAGACCAGTAAAATGATACAAATAGGCAAACCAACAAAATCACTAGAGATGGGAAGTGAAGAATAAGGAGAGGGGGAATATGTTGCTGAAAATTGCATACACCATCACAGATGGAGAGAGATCAAAGATACTGGAGTTAAGTGATGTAATACAGCTGCAGATGCCAGACATTGTTGCAATCACGGAGACAAAACTTGAAGATGTTATTTTAAATGAGGTCATATTCTCAAGGGACTACTCAGTTTGGAGACGGGACAGAAAAATTAGGAAAGGAAGTAGCATTGTTGTGCTGGTGAAAGAACACTTAAAGGTAAACGAAATAATGATTGCCAAGCCACGAGAAGTTGACATAATAGCACTAGAAATTTGCAATCAGGATGATAAACTAACGATCATAAATACATATAGCCCATCACCATGCAACATATGGTCAAAGGAGGAGTTGGATAATAAACAAGAGGGTCTTATAACAATAATTAGAGAGATTATAGCGAGAGCTGATAAAGATAGATCACAACTGTTGGTAGTCTGCAACTTCAACTTGAAATCCATAGACTGGGAGGCATATGAAGCTAGAGCAGAGGATTTTGGACTTGTAGATTCGTAAACCTCATCTTGGAAACATTCATGTTTCAACATGTTAAACAAGCTATGAGGATGAGGGAAGGGGATGTTTCCTCCCTGCTGGATTTGATATTTACCAGGAAAGAGATATTTGATATTCAGTACCGTCCTCTCTTGGGTAAAAGTAACCATGTCTTTTTGGGAATAAAGTATGCAATGCATTATAATCTGGAAGAAAATGAGGATGAAGCAGTTGAAAAAACAGATTTCAGGAGAGGACATTATGGGGAACTCGGACATTTCTTTAAGGAATTTGACTGGAAGACTTGCTGTTAGGACGTGAAGTAAATGAGATATATGTCAAGTTTTGCGAAATATATGATAAAAGGCACAACAAAATTTATACCAAAGCAGAGATGCAGAACTAGAAAA